AATATCGAACTTGATCAAAAGTCATGGATACAAGCACATCGTTATGTGCTATTTAACAATGATGAAATTCAACCATATCAGATGTAAGCAATATTTATGAGTTATGGTATATAAATAAGTTTGAGTTTCCCATTTTAATACTTGCAATAGTAACACAAGTTAGGAATGAACATATAGAGAACACAAGGAGCATATAAAGAGACAAAGTCGTCCGCGTCGTCTAACTGATGAAGTTCTTAATAGGATGCATATGGAAAAGTTTTGTGAGTGGTTTCGATCATATGTAAGTATGTAGCTATTAAACAATACTATTACCATATACAATTTTTAGCGTAAAGATTAATGTAATCATTTTAATGGATTCTATAATATATCAGGTTGTAGCTATGGATGACACAAGAAAGCAACAACTTACTGATGAAATCAAGTGGCTTGCTCAAGGCCCAAACACTCTAGCTAGACGATTCAAACGATATGTTGTTAATGGTTTTAAGTTCCAAATTAAAAATTACGAGGAGGCGAAGAAAACTCAAAATAGTGGGGTTTGTGTGGCCACTGAAGGAGGCACCATGTATTATGGTGTTTTATTTGATATCATTGAGCTGAATTATTTTGACAAGTTGAAATATGTACTATTCAAATGCAATTGGGCTGATGTGAACACAAGTAGAGGCTACAAGATAGATGAATATGGTTTTAACCTTGTAAATTTTTCGCATTTGATACATACTGGAGAACGGTTAAATGATGAACCATTTGTCTTGTCATCTCAAGCAACACAAGTTTATTATGTGGGAGATGTAAGGCATGAAAATTGGTTGGTTGTTGTTAAAACAAAAGCGAGGGATGTGTTTGATGTTGGTACTACTGAATTGGGTGATGGTGATGTTGACAATTACTATGATAACGAGCCGTATAATATGATAGTTGAAGACACTCATGTGGATGCGAATGAAAACCTCAATTGGGCTAGAAATGATGCAGATGGAACGAGAATCAATATACCACTTCCACTTGATAACCAACTGATCGATAAAGATGATTTAGATGAGGATGTCTAGCTATTGAGTTCAACTAGTTTGATTTTAATTTATTTATTCTCATGTTAATCTTTGAAACATGATTTGGTTTTGAATATAAATTTCAAATTTCTTAGTTTCATATATGTATGGCAACCCATGTTTTTTATTTTAATGTTTGTTGTTAAATATAGCTATTACAAACTTGGACTGTCAAATCAGCATCTTGACAATATGTTTTTTTCCTCTCTCTGGTTTTAACTTTTAGTTGGCGAATCTAGGTATATCATATCTTGAGAAGAAAGAAGTCTGCATCCGTCTAAGAGAGGTGAGTATAGTCATGTATGTCCGCACCTGTCTGAATGTAGTACTATTATTATGTCATGTTATGTTTAATGAACTAAGGAGTTTACTAACAACAGTTGGGATGATGTGGACGTGTTGGAGCCTCTTTCTTACAGAGCAGTTTAATGTGTTGCCTCTGGGCATCTGCACCATAATGCTGGTGCTGTGCTTGCCTAACCTGAACTATGTACTGTCCGATTTTGATATGATTACATTCAGCCTGCTCAAAATTCTAGTCAAATTATTGTGCTCAAACTATCCCTAGGGATTTTTAAGGCATTAATGATAGGCCAAATCAATTTTTTATTGTGTTCTTCAGTGGCTAGATTTGAATTACGATCCTTTTTTTTTTAAATGTTTTTCTACGGTTTTAAATTTTAATATTATGAATTCCTATAAGAAATTAAATATGTCGAAGGCAGCACTGAATACTTATCTGAATTAAGTAATATAAGTAACTCAGTCAATGACATTGTACATCATCTTCAACAGGTTTTAGTCTGCCTTGGCTAAGGTTACTGTCTAGCTAATTTCTATTTTTTTTTGATCTGTCCCTGTGTTGTTTGATCTGTGTTATTGTGGTCTGGTGTGAGATCCGAGTTATTGTGGTATGTTCTTGGGATGGTTTTCAAGGCAACAGTTCAGGTGCTGGTTTGTAAGGTAGAAGACTGCTATTGTGGTAAGGCTGCTGTTTCTACTGGAATACTAGGCCTCAGTTTGGGTGTGCATTAGCTTCAGGCTGCAGAGTTCTAAGTTTGCATTGGTGCTTCTAGTCTGCTAGTAGCAGGTTTGTTGTGTTTCAGTTCTGGGCTGGTTTTCAAGGAACCAATTCAGGTGCTGGTTTATAAGTAACCTTAATTAAGCCAAGAAAGGAAAACGTATGGACAGATATATTTTTGTTTTATTTTTTTCCTGCATTTTGCTTTTGGCTTTGTTTTAGTCAGATGAAATAGGATGAGTGGCCAAACTTCTGTAAGTTATCTTGTGGTATTTGTTCTGGTGTAGGAAAGTCCAGAGCAAGAGATGCTGCATTAAATGTCGTTCAATCACCTTTATTAGATATTGGCATAGAGAGGGCCACTGGAATTGTCTGGAACATAATTGTTGGTACTGATTTAACTTTGTTTGAGGTCTCTCTCTCTCTCTCTCTCTCTCTCTCTCTCTCTCTCTCTCTCACTCTCTGTGTCATCATATGCATGGGTTTGATCTGTGTAGTTAACATTTGCAGATCCCTCTTTACCTCATATTTTGTTTGGGCATCTTCTGAATATAACCATTGGTGGTTAAAATTACGATCTAATTGAGAGTGAACTTCTACAACTTCCGAGACATAAATATATGTATACATGCACATACATATTTGTATACATGTATTGCAGCCTATGTAAATTCCTACACCATTTATTTATTTATTTAGTAAATAATGACTACATTAATTAGCATCAAGGGGATGCCACCCATGTACATCAAAAGAGCCTATGAGAGAGCCCTCAGTTTTTATAAATTTTTTTAAAATGACCAAAAGGTCCCACAAAAAGGAATATTACTTACAAATAAGGTATTGGTCCCAGGTTAGGCCCCACATTTGCCACTTAAAGTACCTTGAGGATTTTCTCAATGTTCATCAATTTTACATGAACAGAACAGAGGCAAATTCTTATGTCTAACCTTGTCATGCTATATTTGCTTATGTTGAACCTTGTCATGCTATGTTCTTTATCCGCATGCATGTCTCTTTATCTATCTTACTGATCACACCTTGATTCATACTTTGAACCTAAATGGTTAGTATTATTGGTGAAGAAAGGCACAAAATGTGTACAGTTTTGCTTGGTTTCAGTGTTTAAATCTTATGGTCCGTGAAAATATTGATTAGTTCATGGTTAGTTAATTGATTTGGCCTATCATTAATGCCAAATAACATTAACTCATGAAACAATAGCAATAATGATTACCCAAACCCTAAAAAAATCCTCTTTGACAGGAGATATCACTCATCACTACTGGGGACAGTCAGGCCCTTGGTCTGAATTTGTTTATGCATCCATTGCCAGTTCTCTGGTGTGACCTCACCCCCAAGAGCCCGAATAACAGAGCCACAATTGCATAAGCCCACTTTGTAGCATTCCTCTAGGTTTAGCCCCTTTACCAATCCGTACAAAAACCCACTTGCAAACAGGTCCTCTGCTCCAGTGGCATCTATTGCCTTTGCCTCCCCAATTGCTGGAACCCGAACAATCTGAAAGAGGGAATAAAATTCTATTTATTACTTACCAAAAAGTAAAAAAATATAAAAGTGCACTTTTTTAGTGCTAATGTTCTGCACTTAGATCTGTTTCTGTAGTTAGATCTGTGTCTGTAGACTTACTATATACTAAAAGAGAGATTATTATAAGATTCCATGGAATAGTTACCTTTCAAAGTTCCACAGATTTTATATATATAACCAGGTTATATATTAATATTTCTAATAACCAAAACTATGGAAGAGGAGACAAATATAACATATCACTGACCTCTTTTCCATGTTTTGCAATGCATCCATTAGGCCCTAATGTCACCACAGCCCACTGACAGTGTTTTGCCAAAAAATCAAGAGTAGACTCAGGATTGGCACCTTCTTCACCCCTACAACCGTACCAAGACAATCAAACACCATTTACTAGAGACAGCACCCTTAGTTGAGAACCAATGAACTTAAAATCATTTTGCCCCTCCACAAATACCACAGTGCAGCAAAAGGAAACACATCCCATATTTTCCATTCCAAGATTCTAAATTTATACCCAATCCACCATTGTAACAGATCTGTTCCTTTTTCCATGCATTGTGTACAGAAAATCTCCTTAGAAGTAGAAAAAGAAAATAATCTTGTGAGGTGTATATGAGCTTTTCCTATGGCTTATGTTCTTTAATATCTTTAGTATACTATGATAAATGCTCATTTAATTTAATTAATATCTTTGTGTTTGATTAATTACATCTATTGTTTATCTAGCAGATATGGCAAAGAAACGATTTAGAACTTGCAATCTTGAGAATGAGTCCCAAAATAAGCGATCAAATGGCTCTTCACAACCTAGCCAGTCAAATAACTCTTCACAGCCTAGCCAACCAAATAACCCTTCACAGCTTAACGCACCAAGTGGAACTTCACAACCTAGTCACTCAATTGGCTCTCCACAGATGGACTGGCCAAATAGAACTTCACAACCTAGTCGTTCAAATGCCTCTTTACAGCTTAATCGGCCAAATGAAACTTCACAACCTAGTCGATCAAATGGCTCTTCACAACCTAGTTGGTCACATCCCTCCTCATATGCTCCATCACATGTTCCACATCCTCAACCTCAAGAATCAGAGGTTAACCCTCAGTTTGAAGATGATTTAGATGAGGACTGGTTAAGGAAAGAAGAAATGCAACGTACAGGTATTATTAGATTTTTAGTTGAGGTACAAATTACAAGTCACCCTTAACTTCCATGATATATTTCATTGTTGTATTGTAATAGATGAATCGACCAAGCGAAACACGCGGGGAATTACACGTATGGTTGAAGTGTGGAATTTGACTCCAGAAGAGCGCATTATGCTCACCTTTAACAAGGATCTGCAGGCTGTTTCTACAGAGGAATTGGCATGAAGAGCCAGATCAGTATAAAGAAGATTGTTGGAATATTATCGAGGTAATTTTCTAACTACAAGTATTTTGTGATAATTCTACTACAGTAGTAAAGAAAATTGTATTAACTTCAACTACAATCTTAGATTTTATAACAAATTAAAGTTATAATTGAATCATTAATTTGGTTTCTATTCCTAATACCAGCATGTGCATGTATATGTTGCTTATTTGCAAATGACCTTCAAAAAGCACAATCAAAGATTCAATTTTCTTACACAACAAATAACACATTGTTGATCATATCATTATCATTAATCCAAAATCAAATATGTTGTTCATATCAATATACAATAAGACAATACTAATAATACACTGATTTTCTGAGCAGATTGACAGAAAATGAGCACAGGATTCACAAATGAAAACAAAAGGTTGGCCTCTTTTCAATATAACCAGGACAAACAACTTTAACATCCAAGGCACTGAGAAGCTTCTTTGAAATGTATCCATTCCATTTCCTGTCTTCATAATGATTTCCTCTCATTTAGCTTCAATCGTCACTCCATTCTTTTGTTTGCTTATGAATCTAAGCCACCTTGCTTTTCATTTTTTTTCTTTCGCTCTACATAACATGTTGCCCCCCCAAAAAATTAGAACTCATCCTAGAAAAGAAAAAAATTAAAATCCAGAATTTAATCTATAAAGCAGTTCAAAACGTTCCCAATAGGCAGTCCTTCAATTTCTGAATTCCTAACTCCTCTGCTTTTGCATGTAGGTAGAATGATCACAATTTTCAAATCTTTGATTATATAACTGCTGAGGCTTTTCTTCATTGAATAAATCTTTTTAGGACATATGTTTGTTGTTAGGATTGTCCGAAAGTTCCTTTCCTGTATTAGGATATAGGTGTCGTCTAGAAGTAAGAAGTATGAAATTAGTGTGATTCATTATCTCCATGTAAAAATATGAGAATTAGGCAAAGAAATGCACAAATTTAGTTTATATTATTGTATTGATAATTTTAAGAATGTTCATAACATGAAAAAACATACAATTGTAGTCCAAGTTTGCCATTCCTCAAGATGAGAGAAGGGATATGATTAGGCATCGAACATTGAAGTCAATGGGAGAGAAATGGAGAAATTGGAAATGTAGTTTAAAAGCAAAGTACTATGATGAGACAAAGACAGCAGCACAGATAGTAGCTACTGCGCCTTTAACAGTTAACCGTGAGCACTATGCTGACATTGTCGCGTATTGGTTTTCAAAGGAAGGACAGGTATGCATAGATGTATGTTTTCTATCAAATAATACAATGTCATTATATCAAATTTTTTTTAACATATTGTTATGCATTTATGAGTGAAGGAACTTAGTGCAACCAATAAGGAAAGCAGGCGAGAGCAAACAAGTGCACATACGGGAGGATCTAAAACTTATGCACAACATGCATATGATATGGTATTTCAAACTTCATTCCTTCTTTCAGCTTTTTGAATTTGGTTAGCGCATTATATTATGAATTTATTCTCAAACGATATGATTGTTACATAGGAGCAAAAAGATAAGATTGCACTAGATCGAGCAAAATTATATATACCGCTTCACAAAAGGAAAGATGGGACACCAGTCAATGAAGCAGCAGCTACAAAAATTGTATGCCCATTTAATAAGTTACATTTTCAAAATTTTAATGTGTTTGTGGCAAACAATAACTCTCGCTCTTTGTCTTCTTATTTTTTTCCCCCCATTTATGCTACAGGAAAAACTAGAAGCTTTGATGAGCTCACAACCAAGCAGCTCCGAAGGAAATGTTGGTGGACGTATATCTTGGTCACCAAATGATATTTATTCTCAAGTGATGGGTAAAGAGCATCATGGTCGTGTTCGAGGTTTAGGATTTGGGCCTACTCCTTCCAAGCATGGCTTCATGTGTAATAATTTTGACCACTTAAGAATGGTTTCTGATGAAGAGAGAATGAGAGACAAAGACACTATAATTGAGTTGAAGGAACAACTAAAAACTCAAGGTGATCAATTGCAAACTCAAGGTATTCAGTTGCAAGCTCAAGATGCTGTAATAAACTCTTTGAAAGAGCAAGTAGCATTTTTTATGAGTCAGAGACATAGTTCTAGTGGTTTGCAGGTATAACTACATA